GGTTCCAGAACCACGTGAAACCGAGATATCGTCTGATTTTTGAAAAGTTGTCGTTTTTCAAAAAACCTTTAATATTTTGTATTTTTTCCATAGGAACCGTACACTAGGCGGACTGAAAATAAGATATTCGCGATTGGCGTAAAAAACTGCATCGAATGGTGTATCTTTAAGCCAAAAATAAAATAGTGCTTTACAGTTGAATTTGGAGCGCCTTACTCTGATGTGAATATCTAAAAGGAAAGTATAACAGACAGTTTTTGATAGAGAAAGATACGTCGTGATGCCTGAGTAGACGGATCGTTTCTAGATAAGTCGCAGTATTTTTTGGTCACCGGTCAATTCGTCGCAAGTCTTTTCGTTGCAGACCTGTTTGTTGTGGACAATTCGTTTCATAATCTTTTTGTCGCCGAGATGATTCGCAGCATCGAGTGTCAGGGACAATTAATTATACCAACAAACGTTTCACTTGTGTTGATGCTGTTGATCTTTGATCAAAAAACGCGAGAAGTGGTGCGGTTGCGTTACATCTTTTTCCTGATAAATCATATCTTTCATTTTTGATTTTTTCTGTACTGTCAATCTCTCCCACCGCTCTGAAATACAATGTCCTTTCACTCGATACGACGAATCGTCCCGGCGACAAAAGAATCAAGCAACGAACAAAAAGATCTGCAGCGAAAACACTGACGACAAACTGTTCTCGGCGAATTGTCTGATATTTTTCTGATTTTAATATGGGTGAAGGAAAGCTTTCCTTCAGTCGCTGTGCAAGTCATTTTACGTATAATCGTGAACCGGACCAAAGCTGAATACGCTGAAGATAACACCGTAAGGTTTACTTTCAGAAAGGAATAGAAGGCATCTGTCACTTCAAGTTCCAAGCTATGTCAGCTTCTCTTCTCGAGAAAGCAAGGGACGTAGTTAATAAATTTGTTTTTGTTACTGTTATTTATTTATTTTCTTTTTTTCTTACGCGCAGTGATGTTTTTGAATTTATCAAAGACAAGTTGCCATTTTCTAGAAAATTGTTAATTTTTCAGAAAGTGCGCCGATTTTATGGAAAATCAGACAATAGCTTTTAGAAAGCTTTATTCTTAAAGATATTCACCTATCTACAAAATCGATATTTCAGAAAATCGACTGTGTTTTTTATACAATATAAAACCCCGAATTTTTTCTTTACTGTAAAATGCTCAGCAATTCTATACTAGTCCGAATATGTATGACGATAGTGATATACTATTTCATTTCATTTTAACTAAATCATTCTGGAGACATTAAAACAAGTAACGCTTAGTTAGCTAACTTTATACGCTACATGAAGTTTTCACTTTTGGTGATTAAAAGTATCAAAAAAGTTATCATACAAAATATCTACTCCAAAAAAATGGTTTTCTACATTACGTCCATTACATATTCACCAGAGATATCTCCTCTCCTATACACCCCAGGCACAATAACATTGGCCCTAAAATACGTTTTTATTTCATTTTTAACCATCAAAAAAAATGTTTCATTTGAAATGAGGAAAAACCCGTTACCTTGGAATGCGTTACTTTTCCGTTAAAAACGTGTCAAAAACGCGTTTTCAAACATTCTAGGACGTGTTTCAGATGAAACATTTAACGCGTTTTTAGGTTATTAAAAACGGAATAAAAACGCGTTATCGCGATTTTTTGCCGTTTCTAACGATTTTTTACGCCTGGAACAGCACAAAAAATTGTCTCGAGATGTTCGAGTCTGCAAAAAGCCTCGAGAACTTTCGATACTTGCACTTTTATATTAAGACTTTCGCGACTATTTGAGACTAAACCTTCGGGCATTGAGTACTCGGTCTTGGTACACTCCTAGTAGCAATTAGGAGGCACACTACATGATATTATTTCTCCAGAAAGACGATATTTGTTAGTACTTTAGTTAAGAAGAGTAATTATTAGTTTAGTAGTTATACTTTCGAATACTGGAAATCTAAGAGTTGCAGTTATACATTTTATCAAAATATAACTGAAATACAGCCACGACTACCACTGTGCGAACTTACAAAAGAGCGAACACATCACAATTGTTTTTATACTTTAGATATTCACATTTGTATACGCATATAAATTATCAAAGTTAATTAAACAAAATAGAGGATTAACTATCGAACGTATTTAAATCGAAAACTAGCAAAATTTATTATTATTTATAAACATAAAAAAATTATTATAATGTATATCAAGTTGATCCAATCGTCCGAATGGTTTTACTTGTAATAGACTTTTTCTGGATTCACACCCGGAAAAAGATACCATCGATTACTCCGACACAAACAGATGAGGTTTATACGAAGACAGTTGGAATATGGCAACCTGTGAGAGCTTTGTTTATTTCATGTCACCCCTTCACACATAGACACACGCAAACAAAAAAAATGGAAATCGCGGTAATCCTATCAAAGTCAACATCGCTGGCTGGATAATTTTTTTATATCGTTCGAATGTTTCATGCTGTTAGATAGTGGCTATATTGCCAATACGTTTTATTATAATTGACACTAGAAAAACCTTTGTAAAATCATAGTATCAATAGTAATGAATGTTTTGTTTATAAAAGAAAAATAGAAGTAAACCTAATCCAAGTAATTTTTGTTAAAGTTAATATTAATTATAGCTTCCTTTCTCTAGTCTACTCTCTTAAAAACATAATTCAAAAATCCCAAGCTTCATTATCGTTTTCTGCTGCGTTTTTAAATGGTAAGTAGATGATTACGTAGATTAAACATTTCTCTACAAAATACTTAATCTACTTGATCATCTAGTTGCCATTTTAGTTTAATTTGTAGCTTTATTGCAATAACTTTTCAAAAAAGAGCAAAGAATGGATACCGTTAGCTGGACAAGCCGTATTGTCTTGAATAAAATTCATTCAAGTAATAAACCCTAAGTGTTTAAGAACTATATGCAGTTTACAGATATTTTAGTGGTGACGAAGAGGAAATTCATAAAGGAATTCCAAAAGCGTTTGTTCTAAAATTTAACATCATTGAAATCCTTTTTTATTCTAGCATTTTATTCGAATATTAGAATTACAAGAAGATTACTTCTCTAGTCTTTTAGAAAACTTCTTCAGAAATCCTCAAAACTTTTGATAGCGGCAAAAAAAGCATGGATTATTTTGACCTTTGACGGAGATGACCACCACAAAACCTGTCCTCAAATTATGCCAGTTTGCAGAGTGTGTTGAGTACTATGCATCTTCAAGAAATTTCGGCGGTCCTATGAATGAATATCGGTGAAATTATGAACTTTTTAGCGTTGGACTTCGGTTAAAAGGTTCGGTTTAGCGGCTGATTTCGATATTTCATAAGTCATTCAGGAATAATGACAAAATTCGGTTCAAGTATGTTTAGATGCACAATTATTCATAGTTATTATATGTGTAAAAAAGCAAGAAAACATATCTATCTAAGAGACTTTTTATATCTGTTTTCCTTAAAACTGATGCCAGTTCACTGTAGTCTGATCGTTTGCATTACTTTTTCTTCAACCTCTTCCGCTCAAATATAACGAATGATATATCATCCAAATCAGCTACTCAAGCGCTATAAAATCCTGTATTTTGTTTTTTCATTTGTCATGAATGTGGTATTTTTCGAGATGTTTTCATGCATGGGCTTCTATATAAATTAAAAGCTCATATATTATTAAAAACGAATGCCCATGGCTATTTCTTTAATAACTTTTGAACAATGCACTTCGAAGACTTATGGTTTTCAGCGTTGCACAGAAGAGATAATTAGCTACAGGTTAGCATACAAATATTTCAGAAAATACCACCTGCAGGTGGTATAGCTTATCAGTCTTTGAGAGACTAAGTAACAACGAAGCATTTTTAAGAAGATTTTTCGCTGGCAAAGTTCTTCAGGATAATCCTCTTCAGATGCCACAGGAAGCACTTTCTTCATTTTAGTGGGAAAGTTTCGAAATAAATGTAATTTACATCAACTTTAAGCAAATCTAAAGCTCAAAACTTATTATTTGTAATTTATTTCAAAATTTTCCCACTAAAATGAAGAAAGTGCTTCCCGTGGCATCTGAAGAGGATTATCCTGAAGAACTTAGTCAGCGAAAAGTTTTTTTCAAAACGCTTCGTTGTTTTTCAAATGCGTCTATAAATTCCAAAAACTTACTTTATGGACTCAAACTGCACTCGCATGGAACTGTTAATTTTCTCAGCTGACTGAAATCAGCCGAAAATCACCCAAAATCAATTGATTTTCAGTGATTCTCAGTGATCTTGTGTGATTTCCAATGATTTCCAGTCATTTCTGGTGACTTTTCATTTGATGAAAATCAGAAAAATCCAAACATCAACTATTTCCTCTGTGGAAAACTGCTGGAATCATTGGATTAATGCAGATACGTGTGTTTTGTGCTTCTGCAGTTTTAGATAAGAAAATGAGAGTCCGTTCTGAGGAAAAATCCAGACGTTAAGATAAACATTACCGTCGAAAAACTGAACTAAAATGTTTTTCAACAAATTCAAGTATCTTGGGCATCTCGATATGGGTTGTTGAGAACCTCGTTTTGTTCTCCTCCCACTTAGTGCAATAAAATCTATGATTCAGTTTCTTCTTATTCATAAATTTTTTTCCCAAAATGGCCAATGAAGCAATCACTCAAATGTTGCCAAAATAAAAAAGTAGAATCTGGAAAGTTGGTATGTTGATCGATCTTGCTATTTTGATACCAGTATTTACAGTATATAAAAATGTTATAGAGTCACTTCTATTCCGTCGCTTACCATAAAACATCGGTTTTTATTATTGTCCCCTTTCGAGACGAGCTTGATAATACAATCATCAGCACTGTTGATCTAAATCTATTCGTTTGAAAATGAGAATGAAACGATAAAAAACAAGTTTTTCTATTTACGTACAAATCGGCGCTCAAATAATATTACATTGGTTAAATAACCTATTGAAATTGACCAGTTTATCCGATTTACAGGAGTAGTGATCAAGATTGTGTGAGTAGGATATCTTCTTGTCGTTGTGATCTCGAATCAGTTGGGCTTACATCAGCATTGATTGATGGTGCTGTTGAGACTGATTGTTGCTGCTGTTGTGGACGGTGCCAATGGATCAGAAAAAGCACCGCAGCAACCAGCAGTATCAAAGCGGCTGCAATACCGGAAAACGTAATCAACAGTAATTTTGTCTTTTCTTCAAGTTTTTCTTCATTCTTAGGATGCTTTTCGTTTGCTGGGACAGAAAAGACAGTCGATAGAAGCAGATGGTTTGTCAGCGTTGATACTGTTTTCGATGTTGCGACAACAACGCCTGAACGTACATAAAAAACACTGTTCATTAATCTCAAGGTTTTTTATTATGTGAGTATCCTAGTAAAAATCTCTGGCACTTCTTAAAATTATCTTACTAAGATCTTAATAAGATTCGCGTAAGTTTCTCACGAGGTGCAAACTCAGAGATAACGAACTTTAAAAGCTACTTGGGAATACTACATTTTTCATTGCGAATAAGCTCAATGCTACTGCAAATATGTTTAGACCTTTTGCGATCGTTGTTATTGTTTGTTGGGATGGTGATGCAAACACTGTTGTTTTTTCGTCAAATGTCGACGAGCCCATAGTGAATGCCATTGTACTCAGCCGGATTAGTTGGTCTTGTAATTGTGCTGACGAGGTCACTAAATAATAAGTTTTCATCAGCAATCGTCGTAGAACTCATTGAAGATTGAACATTAGCGCATAAATAGACTAAATGATGGTTTTAGTCAATTAAGAGCTCAACAATATATTAGCAAGATAGCTTGTGAAATACGGATGTCAACTGGTGTTGATCAAAATGCCATTGATATGACAAACACCTTTGAAAAGGATTATTAAGTATATCCTCTCGCGATGCAAAAACACGATCTTTTGATGACACCATCTAACCTTCGTTTTTGTTAATAAACTTCCATTTTGTTAAAGTACCCCATACGATGACACTGATAGACACTATAAGCGCAACCATTGCCGCCATACCGATTCCTTTCCCTCGTCTTGTAAACCATTTTCTCTCATTACCGCCGACAAATTTTCGCATCTGTCCTCGAACTGATTTTTGTGTTTTATGTAACGGTGCACCATTATTCACGAGCGCTACATCGAATTTGGATGGCCCATATTGCGAGATGATATCTCTATCCTGTGAGCTTTTGACAGATCGCATGGATCCCATGAGACTACGATGAGGGGGATTGTTTAGTTCGGCATCCACTTGACGAAGCTGTGATTCTAACTCTTGAATTTTTGCTTTTCGTACCTCATCGATATTATTTACTGATGAAACAGCATTTATGGTGAGAAAAAATAGAACACTGTGGCAATGCATTATGAATAAAATGATAAAAAAGCTATTGAATATATGTGAGTTATACTTTTCAATTGAATAAAAGCAAAAAATTGATACAAATGATAAGAAAATGCGTATGAATTGTGCGCAACAAAAATGAGCGCCTAAAAAAGTCATCTGCTTATTGTCTGAAATTATCTTTTCAAATCTCGAAACTAATTAAAAAATTACAAGAAAATATAGCTTAACAATTATAGTGACAGTTACTTCGACTCTTATTAGTATCGCTGTCAAGGGGATAAACAGGCTGAATACGATTGTTGAAAACAGTTTTTGGATATACGTGGACACAGTTCTTTTATATCAAGTTTTTTCGATTTCGGTGACGTTCTTTCATGAACTCTTTTCAGCGCTGTTTTTCCACTATTTCTCCCGAAAACATATTAGTCTTATGTTTCAGACGATCTTGCTTGGGCCAGAAATTAATATGTTTTCGGGAGAAATAGTAGAAAAACAGCGCTGAAAAGAGTTCGTGAAAGAACGTCACCGAAATCGAAAAAACTTGACATAAAGAACTGTGTCCACGTATATCCAAAAACTGTTTTCAACAATCGTATTCAGCCTGTTAAGAGACTTACCACCTGCAGGTGATATTTATAAAATTATTTTCCCCTAATCGCATAGCCTCCAGACTCTACTCTCTAAAACTGAAAACCGCAGTTCTCTATTAGTTTTCATCAAAAAGTTATAAGCAAAACATCGGACTGTACGGTTCATTGCAAAGGTAAGTAGTTTCATACAGCAACGAAAACTGGTTACGTCTGACAGAAAAGCTGGTTTATTACGCGAGTTTCTGTAACGAATAGGCAGTTGTAAAACATATCTATTAGTATCAAACAAGTGGAGTTTAAAAAGTCAAAATGATTTTTCTTCCTTTAACCGCAATAAACTCGCGTGATTCATAGAGAATTGTGACAATATGTTTGTCTTTCTCTAGATACGTTAGAATGTTATCGCCGTTTTATTTTGGTGATGTTCTACGTATATAATCTCAGAATGAGTTGACTGAAAATTACGAATAGGCGGTTGTAAAACATATCTATTAGTATCAAACAAGTCCAGTTTAAAAAATCAAAACAACCCCTTTTGCTAGTACACATTGACAAAATTCGACAGAATTGCAATTATTTTTATTTCCATTCACTGTTGTCGACGATGTGCCATTGTAAGCTTCATTCAAATAAAATTCATCATGTTTCTCATGATGCTCCTACAAAGAAACGAATGGATATTTTAAATAAGTGCTCAACGTTAGAAACAGCGAGACAACGCAAAAATATGTTGAACACATTTGTAAATACACTTCGATTTTCTATGTACCTGATCATCGTCAAATAATGCTGATTCGGTGTGTGTATTGTAAATGTATGCTTCATTTTTTGTCATTTATAAAATTTATAATTTGTTTTTCGATAAATCAACGATCAAATAACAATTTTTATAGATCAAACTTAATTTATAATAAAACACCGCAGGGGACATACACACTATCAACACAATCAGCTCTCGTGACCTCTTTCACGTTGGAAAAAAGAAGTAAAACGAATGAAAAACGGAACTAATAACTTTTGTATTAGTAATTAAGTACATTATGAATCACTTTAGCAAGTTCGACGAACAGACGATAGGAAAAACCCAATGGTAGCTGTGTGGTCTTTATACAGGTACAACAACCAAACAAATCAGATAAAAAACTCGAAGGAAGAGCAATATGAAATATTTATTACAGGAAAATACCCGTTGCAGCGAAACAGTTGTTGGCGTCGCTTATTCACAAAAAACGCTCCTTTAAATAATCGAACTTCTTTCTAAAATGAAACATCCACATTTTAAATAAAATCAACAGTCCTATTTGAAAATGGCCACTGATTCTTTGGCATCAATAGATAATAATATTTTCAGAATAAATTTATTTAGCTTTAAACATCATAATTAGTTTTAAGGTTGGTTAGTTTTGCATAAGTGTCAATGATTCCCCAACTAATAACCTGTATTGGCTCGGATCTCTAGACGCCGGTATTATCATCAGTAGGACCAGTATAACTGTCATAGTAGTACAAATGGTCTGCACACGTCATCAACACAAATGCTTGAGATTTTGTCAACATTTTTGTTTCTGGACGAAGTTCAAGAAATATGTGTGTAATAGGTTGATGATAAACAACCAAACACTGATTCAGCTTAACATTGCAACATAATCCACTTTAGAAATTTTAAAACCAATGCGGCTATCATATTAAGAATTTTTATAAAAAGTTTTAACCAAATAATAAAAAATAAAAATTAAATATACACATTAAATTTGAAAACAGTTTTGGGGTATACGTGGACACAGTTGTTTTACGTCAAGATGACCTCGCAATGTCGAAACTAGCAACAGCGCCTGCTAACCCGCTTCAAGCGTCTTTGTTATTTTGTTACTGTTGATGTTTATTAAGAGAGCAAAATAGAACCCAAATATTTGAACCACTTTTTTCTGCAGTTCAAGTCGACTTGAACCACACGAAACAAAGTGGCACCGCTTGGGAATAAACAAGTCTTCGAGCTAATGTCGTTCGCGGAAATGTCGTGACACGATGCGAATTGTATATTAGTGTGGAAATTATTTAACTATCTTTAAGTCACTCGATGTTCGTATCCAGTTTTATCAAGACAAATGCCTCGTCTACAAACCCTTTCCAGAATACAACTCCATTTCACTCCAGTGTTGACATCAATTTTTTTCCAAACGAATAAAAATTATAGCAAATAATAGTTCGAAGAACTAATAAGTTACTTTCTATTCTAGTAATATAACGTATGTTTTCTAAATGTACGACTTGTACTTATCGTTCGTGTATGTCATTTTTTGGCACCAATTGTTGTTTTGTGGCAGTCTTATTGATTCTGAGAGAAACAAAAATCCAGTTTAGGGAGAACAAATATATTTGAAAACTTTGTTATTTGATCTAAAGTGGAGCCTTTCATTCGTTTATCATTAACCGAAGAGAAGAAATATTCAAAAAAGAAATAGAAAAAATATAAGTCGAAATTTTTTTCCCATGAACTTGGAAGATCGTGTTTTTTCTGAAAACGTTTATTTTTTATTATAAAACTTCAAAGATGACTATGCAAATGCTAATTATTGATAACAAAAAGTATGACGAGCAAAAGTTTCTTATGTCCACTTGCTATTAGCAAAATATATACTATTGGTTTATTTCAAGCTTTTGATATAAGTTATGCATTGAAAGCCCGGAATAAACTAACACTATATATCGAGTTTGAAAAAGTCGTATTATGTTCTTCGAGCAGTTTTATACTCTGTTCTCTTCTTTGTTTCATATTGCTCTTCCTTCGAGTTTTTTATCTGATTTGTTTGGTTATTGTACCTGTATAAAGACCACACAGCTACCATTGGGTTTTTCCTATCGTCTGTTCGTCGAACTTGCTAAAGTGATTCATCATGTACTTAATTACTAATACAAAAGTTATTAGTTCCGTTTTTCATTCGTTTTACTTCTTTTTTCCAACGTGAAAGAGGTCAAGAGAGCTGATTGTGTTGATAGTGTGTATGTCCCCTGCGGTGTTTTATTATAAATTAAGTTTGAT